CGGAACCGACTTGACGGCACTTAACAACAACAACAACAACACTACCAAAGGCTGCATTCTGCAAGTCTGCCTCCTGGCCGCTAGTTCTAAGTCCCTCTCTTCCCATGAATCTAGAGTCCTCAGTTGCTCCCTCTCTCCATGTCCCCATTTCTGCCTCCATCTCCGGTGTCACCGCTTCTCTGGATAAGGTCTCACATTCCACGTGTGCTCTTCTCCCTTGATGAGCCTAGGCTCCTTTGTTTCTGGACTGTAAGATTAGCCACTCCCCTGTTTTTGTTACAAACTTCTACAATTACAATTGTGACAGTCACAATTAGTCATGATAACAATTACTCATTATTGAATCATAAGAATCTTATCCCCATCTCTTTTTACCAGACCCATCTAGGCAAGTTGAAAGCTATTCAGTGGGGAATCTTTATTTCTCCACACATTATTAAACTAAACTCCCCCTTGAAACCTTGTAAGCCAGTCACTCCATGCCTTTATCACCCCTTCATTTTAGGTAGCCGATGTCTAAGTTGCCCATCCCTATCTACCCTGTGTAAAGAGGGGATAGCATTGGTACTTGATGTGAAGACTTCTTCCCTTTCTGTTGGTATTTATAGTTACTACCTCTGTGAATATAGGTCAGGTTCATTGAATTGTAGCAATTTACCCTTGTTTCATTTATTTAAAAAAAAAAAAAGTTTTTGAATCTTCCTCTAGTCGAGTTCTGATTACTCAGCCATCGAGACTACGTCAAATGGGTACTATCTGCAAGTTTGGGTGTTCTTTTGCATGTCCCCTCAGTTCATATCAGCTGGATGCATCACTCTCAGCTCTAGCCCTCTGTGGCTATTTCTTTGTCCTTGGGCTCAGGTGTCCCCAGGTCTCACCATACTTTGGACCAACTAGCCCTTCCTCTTCTCTCTCTCATCTCCAGGTCAACAGGAGTCAATGGGCCATGGTTGAACTCAGCCCATTTCTTCATTGTTGCCTTTCCCCTTCTTCTACTCACCAATAGACCAGTGTGGTTACCAGCAAGTTTTTATGCTTGCTTATGTATTCCCTTTGAGTTTCTGTTGTAGAGGAGGGTCCTGAAGGAACTTGATTGCTTGCCTTGATGGCTTCCTGGTGAACAACGTGCTTATTCTTGTAGTAGCCAGTCATTTTTGTTTTGTGTTTTTCCTTATGATCTTTCTTCAAAGATGCATCTTCTGTCACTATAGCTGTTCCAGGCTGGTCTGCTTGTCCTTTCTAGTGGTAATGTCCCACCTCAGAAGGTTCTGGATGGGGCTCAGGATTCCACCTAAGGTCTTATGCAATACAAAGGCTCCTCAAGAAGCTTATTTCACTTGGCAAGTTCTAGAACCCCTTTTAGGTATTCC